TATATAGTTTATTCTGATATTTTGCAAATGGTTCAAACTCAGTGTACAAGTGACAACAATAACACCCATATGTTGGTTGTGTTTGTTTGTTTGTTTGTAATGAATTTCGCGCAAAGCTACACGAGGGTTATCTGCGCTAGCCGTCCCTAATTTAGCAGTGTAAGACTAGAGGGAAGGCAGCTAGTCATCACCACCCATCGTCAACTCTTGGGCTACTCTTTTACCAACGAATAGTTGGATTGACCGTCACATTATTCTAAAAGAAGTATTAAGAGAATCCTAAATAACATGATTTATATATATATATATATATATACACTCCCATAAAATACGGAAAACAAAACACTGTGAAGTGAGGCGTCATGTATGTCAGTAAAATACAATTAAGGATCATTACGCGCGTTGGTAATCAAGTCCTGAAAGAATCCTTCAACGCAAAACATATTTGAAAAATTGAATATCTTTTGGTTTATTTATTTATATGATTTATTTGCTTGTTCATATGAAGAACATCCTATGCCTAAACGAACAGGTTAAAGACCTTTACGGTTTAGACTTAGGCGCTCCTGATTTTAAACTGTGGACCAGAGGGAAGGCGACAAGTTGCAGCACCTGCCGCCTCAAGCAATTATTCTTAACCGAAGGGCGACATTGACTGTCACTGTTGAAACGCACCCGGGAAAGCAAAGGTAACTTGGTGGAACCACATCAATCCTGGAACCTTGAATCGATTTGACCAAAGTCTATAAAGCGTTTGCTATTCAGTTATCGTCCAGTGTCAAAGAAGTTTTCAAATACAGGGAAAGGTGTTTCAACAGTTAAAGGCTTTAAGGCTGGAACTAAAATTTTACATCGTTCTCAAAAAATTTGAAAAGAAGAAACTTATAGAGTGAAAAAAAGAAACGAGCTAAGATTCAAGAACTGTAAATTTTTATTTTCATACACAACGCTGGGGGTAAATTCAGTATATATCAATAAAGCCACGTTCTCAGCATTATTAATTAAGCAATTGCCAACCTTTTATGCTTCTGCTATCACCTTTTTATGTTTAGTTTTCAACTGAGATACGAATGATTTCACCTGCAATTCGGTAGGGATTGTTGAAGCATCACTATAGTCAGCAGTAAGATGAGCAGACAGGAACACTTTGAAAGCAGCTATAGACATAATATTGTACTCGGCTTGCTGCTTAATATCTACCAAAGTGGTTCTAAACGGTTCCTGAATACCTCTGCGTGTCATTTGGAGACTTTCATGCTTCTTATGTTTGGCCATCACTTTTCGCAACCCCAACGCTATTTAGCCAATAAAAATCACTTCAAATTAAGATAAACCGGATTGGGTAGTATATGTTTTTCAACAAATATGTCCCCCACTGGCTCGTGAGGGGCCTGTTAAAATTACTTATCACTAGTAAGTAAATTCAAACTAAATTATTATTAGGGTAAATGAAATAACGACCTATATCTCCAGAGTGAATTTTTATTCTCTCAGTATTACAGTATCGTCAGGAGCTATCAATACCCTACAAGTTCACTAATCTGTTAAAAAAGTTTATAATAAATTGTTATTATTCAGTTGATATCAACAGTGCCTTTAGAAACTTCTAGCTACATACACAATAATGTCAATACAAACAACCATGACACGAACAAAGCCAAAAATAAGCTTGTATTTGTTTTTGCTCGAACTTATAAAAACACTTAAGAATTGAAATTTATTTAGTCAAAAGTTTTATTTGTTTAATTACACACACACACACACACACACATAATATATATATAAATTGCAAATATTTGACTTTGACTTGATTTGAGCGCGCTCCCAACGTAATCATTAACGTTTGTGAATTTCTTGAATTCTTTCCAATCATAATATGGCACTCGTAGCCTCCCAAAAAGAAAGTAAAAATACTGTTAATTTTACATGTAAGTTATTCAATCCTAGATGTCGTCAATGCTAGTACAGCTTATCGATTATAGCAAATTACTTTTTCTCAACTTCGGTTGTCACGGTGTGATGTAATTGCTTATATTTCAACATTCAGAAGTCATAG